TATATATATTCTTCTGTTAAACTCCATTATTCCTAAAATTCATTTTTTAATTTCAGAGGACACAAGGACACAACTCATAGCAGATGTCTACCAGGTTGGGAGTTTCTTTCTCCTATATCATTTGGAAGTCTTCCACTGAGATTATTAAATAAAGTCTCTCATTGTTCTGGAATGCATTCTTAAGCACTTGAAGATGTTTGACCCTAACATGTTGATAAAGAGCCTTTTGGTATTTTTCTGCACATGTATGTGGTCTGTCTACCCTCTGAAGCCAAAATTGAATGCAAAGAGAAGTATTAATTATGATATTGTTTTAAAACTAAAACCATACTGTAAAAAGAGGAAAAATGGCTAAAGTTGCCTTATGTTAAATTTTTATTTGCTTTAGAGAAATAATTCTTACTTATGCTCAAAATATAATTATAGTCTATATGAGACTATCCATATTCCTGTGTAGCCTTCTCTTAGTCACTTAAAGCAGATAAAGCTAGAACTAGGAAAATTTTCAGATGGCCCTGATAAGTACATTGATGTCTTTAGAGGATTTACTCAGATCTATAAGCTAGGCTGAAAAGATATGATGTTAATCTTAAGTCAAACATTGACTTCTAATAAGAGACTAACAATATTACAAGCTGCTATTACATTTGGGGATCAATATCATATTGTTAATTTTAAGCAAACAGAGGATAGTCAAGGAAACTACCAGTTCCTACTGGAGTTAAACAAGTACTGACCCCTGAGGCCTGCTGGCCTCATAGCCAGAGGAGATTGGAGGGCACATTTTCAAGTGTGTATTCTTGAAGGTCTAAGAGGGATAAAAATCAAGCCGTCTAGTTATTTCAAATTGTCATGTATTTATCAAGAGAAAAATGAAAATCCTTTTCCTTCTTAGTTTTTTACTAAAGGCAATGATAAAACATATTTCCATACCTCATGATTCAGTAGACAGATTTTGCATAAAATGTGTATTATCCAGTAAGTCCCTGATATTAGAAAATAACTATAAAAGATAGATTTTCCTCTAAACTGCTCACTTGATACTTTAGTAAAAACAGCTTCTTTGGTATTCTGTCAACAGGACTGGAGAAAAGCCAAGGAGAAACAACAGAGAGACCAAAAAGTGGCTGCCTTCATTGTGGCCTTAAATAAAAAAAAGGTCCTATTCTGATTCTCAGGACTCCAAGAAGGGCTCGATGACTGGGCTCAACTGCTGTTTCTGTGGAAAGCCAGGCCACCTTAAGAGGCACAGCCTTAATCCATGCCCTGACTGCAAAGTCTGCCACTGAATGCCAGACTGCACTCTGAGGCAGAGCCCCAGAGCTCAGATTCATCTTCCTAGGTGGTCTCGCAACAATAAAGGATCTCAGAGCACTCTGCTTCTTTCCTCTGGCCAGTATATCATCTTTACCTGTCATCCTCTATGGAGGAGACTTGGAAAAATGAAAATACCAGTCTATTGCTGGGCATTTTCACATGTTTCTTTGACCTTCTCCAACTCTGCCTTTCCTTCCAGACATCGTATCTTAATAAAAGTAGTCATCATCAAAATAACTCACTTACGCTGGAATTACAATAAACTTTATCTTTTCTCATTTTCTTTACACATGCCTAAAAACCCAACTCTCATCCAGGAGAGATTTTATCCTGTATAAATACTGTTAAAAAAAAAAAAAAAAAAAAGAACCTGGCCTAAGTGATGGGGATGCAAGGGGTAGGTTTGGGCTCTGCCACTTCCCTCAGGCCTGGCTTCCTTCTCACTCTCTCTGAGGTGATGAGAGGAGGGCTTTGACTGCCAACCTGCCTGCCCTGCTAGGCCACTGACAGGGGTGGGGAAGACAGGCCCTGGGTTGATGGGGCCCCACAGGGAAGGGTACCCTTTCTGGGTTGGGCCATGAGTGAGGTGAGTGGGATTAGCCCCACTGCATCTAGGGAACAGGGCCCCCTGTTACTCAGCCATTACTTCAGGCTCCAGGCCAGGACTCCCCATATAGGATCCTGAGGATCTCGCCTGAGCGCTGTCAGCAGTGTGGCGCCCTCTGGTCCCTGGATCCACCCTGAGTTTGCCCTCCATACCCCCCAGGCAGCTTTTCTTCAAGGGGACTGAACCCCTAAGGTCTCAGGACCCGTTCCCACAGTCTGTGCTGGCCACCACCCTGGAGACCGTGGCCACTGAGGGTGCGAAAGTCTTCTACACTGGGAAGCTGGGCCAGATGCTGGTGGATGACATTGCCAAAGAAGGTCAGCCACACTGGCGTTCCAGTGCCTGGTCCCAGCAGGAGTAGGGCCAGGCTCTGGCAAGGCCAAGAAGCTGTGGGGTGGTGGGTTGAAAGCGGGCCTTCCCCCAGGTTCTGGCCCTAGGGCTCCCACTGCTAGTCATGGGGCATCTGTGGGAGGGGATCGCAGCCTGCCGTGGCAGGCCGGGACAGCTGAGCTGACCACACCCCAAGTCCTCTCTCCTGCTCCCTTCTAGCCTCTCCCTCTACCCTACCGCGCACACACCCACCCTCACTTTCCAGGTCTTCATGGAGAGGGAACGGGGGGGGGGGGGAATTCCTACTGTGGCAAATGTTTCTTCACCTCAGATTTCCTCTACGTACATGGGGCCCTCCCTGTCTCACCCCAGGGAGCCAGCTGACCCTGCAGGACCTGGCTACCTTCCAGCCTGAGGTGGTGGATGCCCTGGAGATGCCCCTGGGAAACTACACTCTGTACTCACCACCGCCACCTGCAGGGGGCGCCATTCTCAGTTTCATCCTTAACGTGTTGAGAGGTAAAACCTCTTGGGGTCCCCTGCTCAGAGCCCTGCTCTGCGGTAAACCTGAGCTCTCAGGCCAGCTACGGCTTTGGGCAGTGTATAAGTCAGCTTCTTACCATTACAATGGAGTGCCTGACACAACATACTTCTAAAAAGGGAAGTTGAGGGTGGAGGCCAGCAATAGAGCTTTTCTCTAGCATGCAGGAGGCCTTGGGCTTAATCCTCAGCATTGTTAAATAAATAAATAAACAGGAACAAAAGACAAACAGAGACAGACAGACAGACAGACAGACAGACAGACAGACAGACAGACAGACACTGGATGTGGTGCATCACATACACACACCTGTAATCCCAGCATTCAGGAAGCTGAGGCAGGATGATTGCTGCAAATTTGAGGCCAGCCTGGACGAGGTAAGATGTTATTCAGTTCAGGCTGGGCTTGAGTTCACTTTGTAGCTCAGGCTGGTCTCAAACTCACAATGATCCTCCTGCCTCAGCCTCCCGAGTGCCAGGATTGCAGGCATGCGCCACCACACCCAGCTTTGGCTCTAACTCTTACAGGTTCTAAACCTTTAGAGCCTCCTATTCTCACCACCCTGGGTGTTATAGTTGGTGTCTAGGTGTCCCCTCATGCAGTCTTGGGGCAGCCTCTGGAGTTTGTGAGTGATTACTGTGGGTGTGGATGCTGCACCTGCCCCAGGGCAGGTAATTTGCATTACAATGTAAGGTGGGAGGATAAGCTACCTCCTCCTTTTGCTCTTGCTCTTTGCTGCTGCCTTGAAAGGTTGCTTTCTGCTGTGCTGCTCTGCATTGGACCCCGATGCATATGGACTGAAACCTCCAGTAACTGTGAGCTAAATAAACCTTTTCCTCCTTCATTTTGAGCGTCCGGTATTTGTCCCAGCAACAAGAGAAGAGTAAGACACTGGGTCTGAGCCTCCAGTCTCAGTGGACCCTTGGGGCACAACCAAACTGTAGGCTAACTGTGGCAGGTAGCCACTCCTCTTCCTGCCTAGTCTCCGGTTCCATAACCTGGACGAACAGTTGCATGACACCTGAGCCAGGGCTGTGGTCAGGGACCAGGATGATGAGCTTCACAGCCGGCCTGTTAGATTGGCCTGTCCTTGAGGTTTTGCTGAAAGTACAGACACCGCTCTCCCTAGCAGCTGAGCCAGTCACAGGGCACAGGAGCAGGTAGGCTCTACAGGGAGTGAGCTGCCTGTCACAAGCCTGAGACACAACTGGTGAAGTCACAGCCTGCAAGGACAGGGCCTGGAAGTGTCTAGGTCTGCGGATGTCGGAGCCGAGCTCTGCCAGTGTTCTGTGGCTGCTGTAACAAACTGGGTGGGGCTTAAAGCAGTGGGACTGTAGGCCCTCGCACTCTGGAGGCGGGAAGCCTGTGCCAAGTTGTCCCCAGGGCCCCATTTCCACTGGGGACTTAAGGAGACCCTGTTCCCTTTCTCTTTCTGATTCTTGTGGCTGTCAGTATTCCTTGCCTTTTTTTTTTTTTTTTTTTTCAGAACTGGGGATTGAACTCAGGCCCTTGCACTTGCCAGGCAAGCGTTTATTCTACTGAGCCATCTCCCCAGCCCCTCCTTGGCTTCGTCTGTATTTCTCCAGTCTCTACCTCTGTGTCCATACTGTAGCCACAGGGAACATGTCCCAAGGTCTCCTGTGGATGCCTAAAATTACAGACAGTCCTGAGCCTTATGGAAACCATTTCTTACCTGTGTAATTTGTAAATTAGACAAAGTAAAACACCGACAACAATAATAAAGTACCTTTTCTCCTAAAATGACTTGTTTGACATATCCAAATTGCCAGCATCACTACCTGTGTTAGCCAGCTTTCCGTTATTGTAACAAATGCCTGAAATAAGGAAGCTTACGGAGAGAAAAGGCCTAATTTGGCTTAGTTTTGAATGGCTTAGCCCACGATTAGTTGGCTCATAGCTCTTGGGCCTGAAGCAAGGCAGCAGCATGTCATGCTAGGACCACGTAGTAGATCAAGCCTCCCACCTCAGACTGGCTGGAGAGGAAGAGAGAGATAGGTGAGCCAAATTAAACCTCTCTTTCTGAGACAGAGAAGAAGAAAGTAAGAGAACAGCACCCCACAATGCCTTTCAATGTCATATCCCATGACTTAAAACCTCCCTTGAGGCCACCTCCTAAAGGTTCTACAACCTTAGCACCACACTAAGGACCAAGTTACTAATTCATGGGCCTCTGGAAGCACATTCCAGATGTAACTAAGCACCACTACTACTCTTGTACTTTGGGGGCCATTCTTAAATTAAATAGGCATTGTGTGCACAACAAATAACCTAGTGGTAACAGTCGATCCAGCAATGAAGATGACTAGTCAGTGACTCATGGGTGGGTAAGGTATACAGTGTGGATACAGTGGACAAAAGGGCTGCTTCACATCTTAGAGAGATGGAGCAGCATGGCATGAAATTTCATCATGCTACTCAAAATGACATGTAAAGTTTATGAAATGTTTAGTTCTAGAATGTTCCATTTAGTATTTTCAGACCGTGGTGATCTTAGGTAACAAACTTTGGAAAAGAAAACCACCAACAAATACTGCTGTATCGGCTTCTCCTCTCTTCTCTGTGTCTGTTTTGTAAGGACACATGAGGTCACATTCGGGTTTCGCCTGCATAATCCAGGGTAATCTCCTTTTCTCAAAAGCCTTTATTTAGCATATTTTAACATAGGATAAGATCCACTCTAGTCCTATATAAGTTAACATTCACAGACTCTGACATTTAGGACATACAAAAAAAGAAGACAGGGATGAGTATTTGAGGGGCCAACATTCAATTCACTGCACCAAGTGGCCTACACCTGTGCCCTACCCTCTCTCCAGGGTTCAACTTTTCATCAGAGTCGGTGGCTCAGCTTGAAGGGAGGGTGAATATGTACCACCACCTTGTAGAGACACTCAAGTTTGCTGGGGGCCAGAGATGGCGACTGTGGGACCCTCGCAGCCACCCAGATTTCCAGGTGAAGTTGTCTGGGGCTGGTGGGATTCTTCCCTTTTCTTCAGGAACTGGTATGAGGAAAGGGTCAGGTCTGCTGGGGGAGGACAGAGGAGGAAGGATAGCAGGGAGGGTGTGGTAGCCCAGGGGCCCAGAAGAGAACCTGCGTGGCAGTTATGGGAAGCGAGATCTGGATACAGCCTGGGCTCAAGGAGGTCCTTGCGGCCCCCAGATCTGAGAGGGTCCCTCCGCTCCGTGGACTCCACCTGGCTCCCTCACTGATGCTGTACCTGCCTGCTCACCCCAGAACGCTGCCCAGGAGCTGCTGGAGGAAGCTCTGGCCCAGCACATCCGCCAACAGATCGATGAACGTGGTGACCACCAGTGCAGCCACTACAACCTGACCGGGGCCTGGGGCCACAGGATGGGTACTTCCCACGTGTCTGTGCTGGGAGAGGACGGCAGTGCTGTGGCTGCCACCAGCACCATCAACACACCGTGCGTGGGTGGGGAGCAGGCCCTCCCCCCTCGCTCCTGGAGCCCTCTCCACCCTCAGCTTGGTCTATACAGCCTGCCTGCCCCCGCTACCTCTGCGGAGGTGGTACTTTGCTTTGCTCTTCCCTTCCCCCAGCTATCTATCAATCCACCCGGGACAATTACACCTGGGACATCTCTAACTGAGAGGAGGTTCTTCGGGTTCTTGTGCCAGGACCTGTCAGGGATAGACCTTACTCAGAAGGGTGTCCTAGTGGGAAGCACAAGGGGGCATCTGGGCTCCAGTGCCCTGGTGCGCGGCTGGACCCTGGGGATCCTGAGAGGCTGGGGTTCTGTGGTGATGGGAGCCCAAGCTTAGGCCTGGCTCCCCCGTCTGTAGCTTTGGAGCGATGGTCTACTCACCTCGGACAGGCATCCTCCTCAACAACGAGCTCCTGGACTTATGCTGGAGCCGCGAGTCAAGGTCCAGAGACAGGCCTCAACCCGGTGAGAGTGAGGCCTGCAGCCTCAATTCCATAAGCATAAAGTGCGTGGTCGTGTGCTGGCCCCTGGATGGGTTGCCGGCTTCACTGAGCCACTGTTTGCTGAGCAGTGACTGAAGTCAGGTAGGGTGTTGCTCCTGGAGGGCGTGGTTGACACCTGTTGGGTCCCCAACTCTAGGTGAGCGGCCACCATCGTCCATGGTTCCTTCCATCTTGGTCAACAAAGCCCAGGGCTCAACGCTGGTGATTGGCGGGGCTGGGGGAGAGCTTATCATCTCTGCGGTGGTCCAGGTGTGTCTAGGGGTTCCTGGCTAAGGTGGCCCCCATCTGGGAAGCTCCTTGGGGTAGATGGGCAGCCGGTGCCCCTCCCTGGCTCACTCCTCCTGTCACTCAGGCCATCATGAACAAGCTGTGGCTCGGCTTCGACTTGGCAGCAGCCATTGCAGCCCCCATTCTGCATGTCAACAGCAAGGGTGCGGTGGAATACGAGGCCAACTTCAGCCAGGTGAGGCAACGTTCCAGCCTCCCTGCCCCCTTCCATACTACTCCGAGGCCCCATAGTGGCCCAGCTAGGAACCCTTCACCTTCAGGGCCACAAGGAGTTGGCTTCCAAGGCAGAGGGTGGGGTGTTGCCAACGCTTCTCCCAGGCTGAGGCCCTCATCTTTCTTGGTCCCTGGTCCGCTTAGGCTGTCTCTTTGGAAAGCTAGTTCTCCTGGTTGTGGCCTCTCAGACTCTGTTGTGGTGATTAGCAATTTACTTCCTTATGTGGTTTGTAACTCATATTTGGGAGTTTATGTGAAGCAGAAGTTCTTTTTCCTGTGGGAGTCATCAGGGTGCCTTTATTCAGCATGTTGGGGGTTCTTGTAAACACTTTTTGATTCCTCCATCAAGGGCTGTGGTATGTCCCAGGCTCGAGTCTCTTGGGCCTTGCCTCCCGCCTCCTCAGCTTCCTCCAAGCTTCTCAGAGCTGCTGGTTGCTCTTTGTTAGAACTTGGTTGGATCAGGGAGACAGCTCAGGGGCCTAAGCACCTGATTAACACATGCAAGGTCCCAAGTTTGATTCCCCAGGACCGCAAAATAAAAAAATAAAAAGAACTCAGTTAAAGGACTATCAGCTGGTGCTGGGCATGTAGCTCACAGAGAAATCTAATGTTGGCAAGGCCCTGAGTTCAATCCCCAATCTGCTAATCCTGGGGATTAGCAATTGAGCAGTTCTTTGAAGCTTCAGTTTCTATGCCCTGCCTCTCTTCTATGCCCCAACTCTCCGGGCTCAAGGTTCTCGAAGCTGCCTCTCTGGCCCACAGGATGCCTCTCAGGGTGGAATCCCAGGGGCCACAGACTGGAGGACTTAAACCGAGTGGATGTACATGGACAGGTTTGGACTCACAGGGGTTGGACTAAAGATTTTTCAACTTTCCAATCAGATGAAATCCGTGCACCTTCAGTATAAACTGTAATTCAATGTCTGCCAGTGGGGGCCACTCATACACACATCCTAATTTGTCCCTTTTACTACACTAGGCAACATGTTACATGAGATTATTCAACATTTTATGCTAAAACAGGCTTGGTGCTAGATGGTAGCCCAACCACAGAAGAACACACGTGTTCCGAGTACACTTGAGGGAGGCTGAGCTAATCCCAAATGTTTGGTAGATTAGATGTATTCAATATATTTTTGACTTTAGGATATAGTATTTTCTTTTTTTTTATCCATAATTTTATTGAGAAACAAATAGCAATGAGACAGTTTCAAACCAAATTGGTAGGACAGTTTCAATAATTAGCACATTGCATACATTCTTCCTAGTGGTTAACTGCTGTACAAGATGCAGACTTGAGATCCTATTTACAAACACCATTGGAACAAATCCCTCTATTCATTAAGAGAATGTAACTATATATCTGTCCTAACCACTTTGAATACACAGATACAAAATGGACATTCATCTGTAGCCCTTTTTTTGTTAAGTTCTGTTATTTGAATATTATAGGTGTATAAACTCAGCAAAATATTCTAAAAGATTCCAGTAGCCCATAATAGTATTGGGTCTTCCACTTGACTGGCAGTGTCAGAAATTGTTGACCTGAGTCCCAGGATATAGTATTTTCAACTTTCAATGGATTTCTCAGAATGGAGGTCCAGAGGAAGTCAAGGAAGAGCTAGGTTGCCTGAACACCTTGGCATTCACACCATGATATGAAGGATCCTGGCCTGGTGGGCTCAAACTCTTAAGAGTCTGGGGGACCCCCCTGTCCCATGTAACATCTGCCCAGTGATGTCAACCACTCTCTCAGGACATGAGACTCCAGGGAACTTAGATCTAGAAGATCCAGGATCCAGGCATCTTAACCTCGTCCTCCTTGACCCTTTACTGAAGTCCCTCAGACTACAATCATCACTTCTCACACCCAGAAGACCTGTAACTGAGAATTTGAGAGACGGCCTGGGAGTTAGCTCAGTGGCACAGCAGCTGCCCCGCAAGTATGAGGTCCTGACTTTGAGTTCCAGTACAGAGATAGGGAGAGACAGAGAGAGAGAGAGAGAGAGAGAGAGAGAGA